GCGTGGGTGGGGGCGGGGGGGGCATGGGGTGTGGAGAGGGCGCTAGGAAGCGCGGCCAGGCGCGACTCACCCGTCCATTGCACACGGAGGAGACCCGCTGGGGACGGAGTGGAGGCGCCGGAATAGCAGAAACCGACCCAACGGCTCCGAGTTATAGACTCACAAAATGGCGGAGACGCCCGAACACGTCCCCCGCGCGCTCTTCCCATTGGCTCCCGCCGCGGAGGGGGGCGGGGTGAGCGCTGTGGGGCTTCACCGGCGCCTACCAATGGCTAGGAGGCCTCTCGGGGTGGGGCCAGGGGGAATAGCAGGCGGCCATTGGAGCGAGCGGCCGTCCGTCGCGGTTCAAGGCGGAGCGAGCCCTTGGAGGCCAGGGAGGGGAGAGAGGGCGGAGCCATGTGATGGCGCCTGGGCCAGTGAGCGATTTGCCCTCAGGAGTGGGCCTTTGCGGGAGACGCCATCTTGAGAGTGGGTACGTGGCGAGTCAGGCGGCGGGAAGGATGATTCTCCCAGGCTGCCTCCCTCCATCTTGCAAGCGGGCAGGGGCCGTCCATCTCGGGCGTGAGGTCAAAGGGGGGGCGCGCCGCCATCTTGGAGGAGGGCAGGAAACCTACGAGATTCCATCTTGCTTCTGGGCACGTGGCGGAAAAGTCTGATTCAAACCGAGACATGACTCCTGGGTTCGCGCGAGGGGTGGCGGCGGCAAGGAGGCGCCTTCCAGACGTGCGGGAGCTCTGTCCCCTGCCGCCCACCGGGCCTGCGGGCCTCTGCGCTCGGGGATCGCTTCCAGCGCTGCTGTTGTGTTCGCCCCAGGGCAGTGAGGCCCGGCTGCGGTTCGCTCCTGGTGGCGGGACTAGGGAAACTGAGGCCCAGGAGCTCGACGAGATGCCCCCTCCCCTCACCCCACTCACGCACTGGGAAACTGAGGCCCTGGGGCGCACCGAGTAGAACTTTCGAACCGTCATAGAACTTTCGAACCCGGGTTCATGTCCATCCCAGCTACGAAACACCTTAACATATCCCCAAGAACACTGATTCTAGGGAGAGTTGAATAGCTTGTGGGCCACAGGGTGCCCGTCGGAGAGGCGACAGGAAACCGAGGCCACACCGGCCAGGACGGCTGGGCTGGGCTGGCGCGGTCCTGTGACGGGCAGGTGCTGAGCAAATAGCAGAAGCTGTGCTGATGGTCTGCTGAGGGAAGGGACTCTGTAGCCGACCCCAGGCTGTGGCGGGAAATGCCTTGGTTTGCCTGACCGAGCAGGAACCCGAGCGCCCGCAGACGAGCGAGCGCGGTTTACTCTGCAACTAGTGCACTGGCGACTGTATCCGTTGCAGGGCCCTGGCGCCTGGGTGCCCCTGTTAGCAGGGCTAGGGCCTTGCGGACTTGCGCGGAGCCCGCCTCCCTCCCATCCGCTTAGCCCAAGACCATCTGAAGCCCCAAGCCACTGACCAGGCATGCTTGGATAGACTCGACAATCCCTAACACCCTCCGGCCAGGAGGCTCACCGCCCTCCCCACCGAGGACCACCCGGTGGTTGCTCATCCTGGCTGGGTGGTGCCTTTTGCCAGCCCACTTGGCCTTGTCTGTGGGTGGTAGTGGGGTGGGGGAGGGCTCAAAGCCTCACAGGGAGAGGAGGGGGAGGGGGCAGCTGGCACTGGTGCAGGCTACCACCAGTCTACAGAATGGTCCTAAAACCCACTCCTGGGCCTCCCTGGTGGTGCAGCGGTTGAGTTGCAGCATTGTCAAGCTATCGGCAGCCACTGCCATGTGAGTTTGAGCCCCAGCCAGGGGGGCACCCCAGGGAGCAGCAGACCTCTCTCTGCTGCTCTGCTCAGCAGTGTGTTTCAGTGGATCTGCCTGTTCTGCTCCCCACTCTGTCTCTGGTGAATCCTTTCACACACACCCCATCTCTGCCCTACACCCCAGCTCTTGTATACATAAATAAATAAAATAAATCATCTTTAAAAAATGTGTATTTCTGGCCCTCCCTGGGGGCTCAACGGGTAGGGCGCAGCACTGCATGCTGGCCTCAGCCACTTCAGTTTGAGTTCAAGCCCTGGCCTCCGAGGTGACCCTCAGGGCGCAGCAGACCTCTCCTTTCTCACACTCTCTCAGCACTGAGCCTCCTCTGTTCTGCTCTCCACTCTGTCTCTGGTAAATCCTCTTACTGCCCCTGCACCTCTGGCCTGTACCCCAGTTTTGTGTGCATAAATAAATCTTTAAAAAGAATAAAAATTAAAAGCCCTACTTTTGACCATGGCCAGTCTTGCCCGAAGTAAAAGGACTGTGCACCTTGCAGCTCAGCAGACCGCATACCCTAGGCCGCCTCTGGCCTCTGGCCTCTGGCCTCGCTTACACAGCCCTGCACACGCTGTCCCCAGCTGCAAGGTTCTTCTGGAACCCTACAGGACTCCCTCTTCCCACCTTTGCCCAGAGCCTTTGCGCAAAGTCTCCCTCTCCCAGCTCCCTTCCACCACGTCTCCTGGTAACTTGATGTCTTTCATTTACCCGATCCTGCTTGGTGTAACTGTGTGGTCAGGCCAGTGTTGGAACACAAAGCAAGGTATCCAAGAGTCCACAGACAGGTGACCTCAGCTGACACGAGGTAATGTTCTGTCTCGGTCTTGCTGGACACCGAGGTCTCCATGGTGAAGAAGCCGGAGCCAGCCTCCTCCCTGATGGGAATTCATGCTATAATCATCGCGGAAAGTGCTGGGAGGTACAAGACAACACAGCCAGTTCAGGTCTGGAGACCAGAGTTCTGAAGTCATTATGTCCCGGCCGAGCTCCTCCAGTTTCCAGGAGAGGGTTGTAACCACTTCTTTTAGCTTCTCCAGGCTCCAGGCGTCCTTGGCCTGTGTCTACATCACCCCAATCTTTGCTGTCTTCTCCCTAATTCTCCCTGTCCCTCTTCTGCATGCCTTTACAAGGACACTTGTCCTTGCTTTAGGCCCATCAGAATAGCCCAGGATGATCTCATCGTAAAGTCCTGATCACATGGGCAAAGACCCTTTTCCCAAAGGTTTGGGGATCAGACCTTCTAGAAGATATGATTTGGGGCCCACCAGTCAATCCACTAAAGCGCCTGAAGCGTGGGCCTGGGGCCGCGGGCAGAGCCTTCCTGGGAGTCGTGGGGACCTGTCCAGGGTAGCTGCCCAGGCCCTCTGGCAGCCCGCCGCCCCGGAGGGGCCCTGTGGACCATTCCAGCACCTTTGAGCCAGAGCAGGCCTCGCTTCTCGGTCTTTCTCAGCTTTCCCCACCTGGCCTTGCCAGCTGCTGCCCTCATTAATGATTTAGGGAGCGCGTGGACCTTTGGTTTACCTTGCTTTTGTCTGAGAATTTTGAAAATGATACTCTGGAGCAGGAGAGGAGGTGGGTGAATGCCAGACTGGGGTGAGTGGGTGAGGGTCTGCGCCCCAGGCCCTGTGCAGGGAGAGGTGCCTGCCTTAGTTTACCCCTTTGTCTAGAAAGGGCTAAGCCAGTCCTACCTGGGATCTTTCTACTTACAAAATAAGTAGCTTAATAGTTTTAGAACATTTATTCATGACTGTGTTTATGCATTGACTTGACAACAAAGGCCTGGGGGGTGGGGGGAGGCCCCAGTTGCTCTGCAACTCAACTCTGCTTCCCACCCAGCCTCTCCAAGCCATTTTTCAGATTTCTGTTGGACCGAGGCGGGAGGGGATCAGAGAGGTCCCCTGCTCCTACACGCTGAAGCCCAGCAGCCTTCGCAGACCGCGCTCCCTCTGGGACAGCTGCTCTCCAGCCTCGATGTCCCTCAGAGTTCAGTGTTCGCCCTGCTGGGCCCTGCCCAGCCCCTAGCCAGTCCCGGTATCTGCGGTGGGCGTGTGGGGGAGGTGTCCCCAGGGTTCTTCTGAAGAATCAGGGTCACCTCTCCAGGAGCTTCCTCTGCACCCCAACTCTAGAGACAGCTGCTGTGCTGCCCTCCCCAGCTCCAGGCCTGGCTCCAGCCAGCTCCCCGGCCCCCCCCAGGAACCCACCCTCCTCCCAGCCTCAGCCGGAGTTCAGCGGTCGCCACCCCGCCCCCGCCCCCGCTGGGCCCAGCCTAAGCCGGGAAGCTCAGCTAGGGTGGGGCGCGTCGTCAGAAACACTTTAGTGCTTTAACTATTTAATCTTCTGAGTAGGAAATACTTTCACTTCTGTCCCCCATCCCGAGAGCCCAAGCGGCGGCCTGAGATCTGGGTGTAGGAGAGCCCGGCTGGCTTTGAGCCCAGACCCACCTCCCCCGCGGGGACTCCCGAAGCTGGGGCACCTCTCGGTGGGGCGGGGAAGCCCAGCCGCTCCCCCAAACGTTCAACAGGCAGCACCTGCCCCAGCAACTCCGCACCTAGATGTGTATCCCGAGAAATTACCGTCTATAACATAATTATGCGTAGTAGCCACAGGCAGAAACACCCTGGATGTTCCAGGTAGATGAATGGATTTAAAAATTGATCCACACAAGGGAACATCATTAGCCAGGAAAAGGGGGCCAGCTCCACACACGCAGGAGGGGCCCCCAACACGCCGCTCAGGGGGAGAAGCCCGACGCAGGCCAGGCCAGGCCAGGCCAGGCGGCTGAGTCCCTGGTGAGAAGCGTCTGGGAGGGGCCTAGCCAGAAGGAGAGCGGCTGAGCAGGGCTGGGGGCTGCCGGCCACTGCCCTCCAGCTGTTTACTCTGTAGAATGTTCTGGAGGAGTGGTGGTGTCAGCTGCCCCATCCCAAGGCCAGCATGCTCCCGGCACCCTGTGGGCCCCACCGCCGGAGGGGGCTTGGAGGACCCTGCTGCCGCCTCTTCCGAGCCAAGCTGCTGCGGACGTGTGTGCAGGGCTTTCTGTGGATGTATATTTCCATCCTGTTTATTTATGCACAAGAGCTGGGGTACAGGCCGGAGGTGCGCGGGTGGGAGGACTCCCTAGAGGCAGACAGGGAGCAGACAGGCAGATCCACTGAAACCCAGGGCTGAGGGGAGCAGCGGGGGACAGGAGAGGTCTGCTGCGCCCTGGGGGTCACTCCCTGGCCGGGGATGGAACTCTGGGCCTGAGTGAGGTGCTGAGACTTACCCCAGGCCACGGGGAGGCCCTGTTTTCATTTCCTTTGTGTAACTACTGTATTGTTTTTCTAGGGCTCTTGCAACTGCACAACATACAGGAAGCTGAAACTTGCAGTCCGGGGCCTCCTT